TATATATATATATATATATATATATATATATATATATATATATATATATCACCGGTTAGCAAATAAGTATGATGTTAACTCAGCAAAAACAATGACAGGGGAATCGGGATAAAAACATAGTGAAATGTAGATAAAAAGATTACAGAGGATTAAGATAGCAAGAACGATTTTTTCCACCGTGCACTTTTTGACATTGTGTACGTTATTCTTTGTTTTTACGGGGCGCAAGATTTCAGAACGGAGGTCATTGGAATATCCAACCAACGACAGTCCTCAATGATCGCTTGGTCTTTAAATGGGTGATGCTTCCGAACGTGCGGCGAATGTACACATTTCCAAAGAAACCGTTGAATGAGTTCACGAATGGAAACCGAAGAATCGAGCACTCTAACCCTCAATCACTATCAATACAGTTTTAACTTGTGCAGATTGGGATGTTCTGCTTACTGCACATGAGAGTTCCCTTTGAATTTTTTCGGCCTCCGCATTTCCTGTGAACATCAGACGCGCGTACAAATCTTCGCGGTTCTTATCTCCTTCGGACCTTCTTCGTGTCCTTTCATTGCCTTGTCAATACAGCTTTCCGGGTAACCGTTTTGTGTGAGAATAATCCGTAAGATATGTAGTTATCAATCGATGGTGCCCGCCAGGCATAGATTCTTTGTCCGAACAGTTTATCAACGCGATAGATTTGGTTTCCTTGAAGCGGGACAAATAGATATAAACATGTTTTCTTTTTTCCATGCCTCGATAGCTGGACAGTACTATCACTATAGCGTCTTATAAAGGCATCGAGATAAGTTATACGATTGTTCGCCTCGTTTTCCAAAGTAAATTTGTTTTGATGGGTGCGGTTTGAATCCTCATGCAACCGAATGGTGTCCGACAGAAATGGGAAATCGTTAACGTATTTATAGGGTACACCGGCAGATATGACACGAGTTTAGTCATAAACGTGCTGGTTGGTCATGTTCGTATTGGTGGCTCCAATAAAACTGCATCCTTCCCGACTACATATTTCAGCATGGGAGTAAAAATAACAATGGTTTCGACTCATCAAATGGAACGCTCACATTGACGTTTTTCTCGTAAAGAAGCCCACATTTATGAACAGCGAGGTAACGTCTACGGACAACATCTGTTTGCCCTCGAGGTTCAGGTCCTTCAAAGTTCCTACCAGATGTAAGATGTCTTGTAAACTATCTCTGAAAATTGCGATCCTTGTTGGTTTCAGTGGAATAAACACATCCGGATATCGTTTCATGGGAACAACCTCTGTGTATCCAGACAAACAAGGAATTGTTTTACCCGTTGGTTCACACGAACGATTCAGATATCGAAATTTCGTGGAAGTTGTTTTCGATCAGAATCATCTTATCATTTTCGGTCGATCTTCCTGAACTTGAGTGGATGATTCACTATTGTATTCCTCTTATCCATGTGATCAAATCTTTTAATCATACTCACAATATCCACCAACTTCAAGGGTTCCAACGTTAGTAGTCCCTTGGTTTATGGCTTACAATGCCGATACTGGTTAACGGGTGTGCGTTTAGGTTTCTCTAACTACCCAGAAGACGGGAACCAAACCAGCTCGACTGAAATAAACTGTCAAATCGTATAGGTTGGACAATGGAGTTTTGTTCCTAAGCAACATCTTGTCTTAATTCACAGACGGTAATATGTGGATACGACTCTTCGAATGTGATGGGAACAACCAATGGGTTTGTTCGAGGTGATACTTTTTGCAAAGTCGTGCGTATAAGCTGGACTTGTTTATCAAACAGTTAAGGCAACGAATTTCTCTTCTATGGTGAACTGATAGGGAACATGAAAAGATTTCACCGCATCACGCTCCCGTTTAGGTTGGCGGTCTGATACAGTATCTCATTCGTCAATCGGTTGGTGACGCAGTAGTGAACACGATTTCGCCTCAGCACATTTGGATTCTGTTTGAGATGGTTCAAGGTTCATCAAAAACTCGACAGGTGCATTTCCCATGACTCATTTCGTACTGACCTTAACCCATCTATAAAACGCACAGAGTACAACCGGGTTATTGGCTCNTTGGCTCGTTTCGCATGTTTGAATATTTGAATTCACGGGTTTGACTATTATGACAGTTAGCTCTTCTTAATTTGGAGACACGTCAGTCATCCCGTTACTTCAAAAGGCAGTCCCACCATTCTGGTAATAATTGGAATGAGCCGAATTTGAGAAAAATACTAAATACACCAATTTGGTTTAAGTCATGATGACTGATTACCATTGCCGCAGTCATACTCAGACCAGAAGTGACTGAATTGGCCAAGGTTTCGGGAATATGAGATGGTCCCTAATCAATATAAAACAGCCGATTTTGTCGGATATCTTGTTTTCGGTTCATTCGATTTTGGCGTCAACTTTCCATAATTTCATTCACAGCCCGTTCCGAAAGAAGACGCACGTGAGCATAATTCATTGCGATTTGACGGATTGTAAAAATTGAATGAGTCATGTGACAAAATTGTGAGACACAGAGGTGTTATGGCAAAGCCCATACCGCCTAGCATACATCCCGATCAGGCGGAATATCTTCTACTAGTTCATAGACAATAACGAGCGGCTTTTGTGTGTATAGTGTTGCAGGAAGATAATATGAGGATAAATTTGGTCACCACACAACTCTAGACAAGAGATACCGAGAAACATACATTTGCGTCTATTTTGGAAAGACTTGGTGTTCACAGTCCATGAAACAGAAAGATGCATGTTTTTTCACGGGCAACCGCTAGAGCAGGCAATGAAATTCATAAATTCTGCCGCGATTACTGTGGCGTTTGGGAAATCTTGTGCAGTAGTAGGGTCTGATATTTTGTTCTTTTGCATTCCGATATAGCGCCGCTTGAACCGGGCCAACTCAGGAAGACTGTATCCGACGGGGCGGTGGGCGAGGTTGATCTGCGGACCCGAGTTCGTTGTGCCGCGTGCAATGGATGGCGGCAAACCGATAACGGGCGATTTCATTGCCTGGGATTGTAGGATGTGGTCCACCACAGATTGCGTGACGCTTTCTAGAGTCTGCAAATCAAGATATTGACAAAATTACCGCTGATAAGGCGGTGCTAAATAAATCGGCATCGGTGGTAAGTTTCAGAAAAAAACGCTAATATTCCTTTCGTCAAAAATCTGGTAGCTATGCTGGGGGACAGAAACTAATTTTGCCGATTTTGGATTGGAACGAATACACGGGACTGTACTAACTTGAGAGTTCATCGAAATATCAAAGTATGATACGGGCGAATTTTCTTGTTCACAACTGGGTGACCTAATTCCACAACTGCAGATACCATTTTCTTTACAGAAATCATAATCATGTCAGTTTGATTATATCGCTCAATCCTAAAAAGAACAACAACACTTGTGGTGCTATTGTACCAACTTCAAGGATAGTTTTCATGGCAGTAGACTCGAGGTAATATTGTTCTAGTGGTGGGGCGTGCTTTGGATCCTATGGTACAAGGTTCGAACTCCGCCACCCAACTTTGTGGTGAAGGCAACTATGCTGTCGTCCGGTTCAATACCGAGCCTAACCAAGTGGGGCCTTATGTGGTTCGCTTCTCTAAGCCCCGGGAACTAGGTTACCGGTTTCCATCACTGAACAGCAGGTCCTCGTGACTATGGGGGTTCGCTCCGTCTGCTGTTCATCACAAATGAGTCTGTTATTACAGACGAGCTGTTGTTTTCAGTTTTTCCTTTTAAGAGAACCAGTGTGCTGTTCAGTAACTATAGACGAGTGCATACTAGCAGTATGAAGTAGTTTCACTCGACCGTACGTAAAAAGAGCATCATTGCCGTCCTCGTTGTGGTGAAGCAGGTGATATGAGGCTATGAAATTCCTGACCACATAGGCCGCGTTAGGCTTCGTGAATGCGGACATTGGGATCAGAGAAAATGGCTAGGAACAGTGTTATGACTGGGTGGAGCTCGTGCATCTTATTAGCCTTCTAACCTTAACGCCGAAAAACTCCCTTTATCTTACTCTGACACTGATTTAAACATTCAATCTCATCAAAATGGAAAGCCATGACGCATCAATCAAAACCGGAGCACAACAGTGCATGGCTGATGGTTGTCAAAACTGAAACAGTAATGTAAGGAGTGCATAGGTGATACGGGCCAGAGGGAGACAGTGGGTAAATGCACTTGCTCAACAGAAATGGGTTAAAAGCCACCGTACAATCTATGGCGATAATATCTCTTGTTTATTTCACGATTTTATCTCGAGGAGTTTAAACGAAATTTCGACCTGAGGCTTTCACAATACCACTGATTTGGAAAATCCTTAACCTAATTTGTCTACTTATTCCCTTCGCTCCCAAATCATAAGAGATACCTCTTGTTTTCTCCCACTCAGGAGATATCACATCATCGTTTGACTATTAGGGTACGCCAGTCAGAAGCTATCAGACTGATGAAACCGAAACGTAGCGGCATTTAACGCTCGCATACCCTATCACATGAGTCAACAAGATGCATTGGCACGTGTGTAACAACTCACATTCTTCATCTTTGCGAAGGAGGTTGTTGATAGACAGTTGCACGTCGTACATCGATGGCGAGAACACGAATCTCTAAAACGATGGGGGAACTTTAAGTCTGTTGGTTCCGGCATTTTCACAAAGACACGAATGTTCTGTGCGTTTGTTTTGCGACCAGCGGTATCAAAAATGAATCATATATTTTACCTGAAGGATAGTCAGCTCAAATCAATAAAAAAACAGTTATCCCACACCACTACTCACAAGTAACTGTGAGTCGAATTTGAAATATCAATCCAGCCTTATAGATTCGTTGGCGAATCAGTCCGTACCTGCAAGGAAATCCTGACTTGGTGGGAGGCTTTCGATTGGAGTTAACTGTATGTCATCTGTCTCCCTTAGTTGCTGTCGGGCTAAAATGAACTGACTATCTCTGAAGACGACACCTGAACAAAGATGAATTGGCTATTTGGTTCAGCCATGGCATGAGCTGGTTGGCACAGTGGTACCGTACACGCCTTCCATGCGATAGGTCCGGAGTCCAAAGCCCGGACGGGAGGGTGGATACGCACTACTGATGAGCTCTAATAAGAGGGAAAACCGAGTAAAGTGCTTTTGAGTGTATGGTTGAATCGACGAACTGAGGATTGTGCGTGAAGGTGAAGTCCGAAAGATAGTCAGCTTAAATCAATAAAAAACAATTATCCCACAACACTATTCACAAGTGACTGAGTCATATTTGAATTATTTATCTTTGAGGGATTGAAACTGATCATAATTCAGAATTCACCTTCACACACATTCCTAAGTTCTTCCAGTCAACCATACACTCGGAAGCACTGCAGACTCACGTTTCGATCTTATTAGAGCTCATCAGTGGTGCATATCCATCGTCCCGCCCGGGATTTGAACTCCAGACCAATCGGAAGGAAGGGGTGTGTATTACCACTGTGCCAACCAGGTCATGCTAGAGCAGAACAGAATAACCAATTCATGTTTAATCAAGTGTCGTTTTTAGAGTAGATGATTTCTGAAGGATGGTCAATTAAAATCATCCCACGACACTACTCACAAGCAACTGTGAGCTAAAGTTCAAGTGAGTTGAAATTAAGTTACAAGACCTGATACTGAACACTAGTAAAACTAAAGTGGAAATAAATTATCGGTAAATCCATTAGGAGACTGCGATTTATAGGATGCGTTATTGCATTCCATTTTTGCAGTACGTTACAAGTATTGACAAAACTGGCACATTCCCGCCAGACCGGGTGGTCTAGCAAGACTGATCACTTACTTGAAGGAAATCGGTAGGGACAGGTGCAGACCTGAGTGTGGAACGGTTCGGTTGGACAGTCGGATTGCTTGGGGAAAACACACTCTTTAAATCCATGACGACAGAGGTCACGTCAATCTGATCAGCACTTTGCCAAAGGTGAGGTTTAATCACAAGCAACGGACTATCCCAACGCTGAGACGCTTGTGGTGCTTCAAAACGTGAGATCATATCCGACAAGAGCTCCGGAGGGTAACGGTGGGCCTAGGAGAAATCGCAAATCGATTGCACGCAATGGTGTAGTATTCGAATAAAAGTCGCAATTCACGCATGTTGCTCTAAGACACGAAAACAAAAGTACACCGAGACGGCCAATCTCGAATTTTAATTATTTAGTGAAGAGATTGGACCTCTTTTTGCAGAAAATGCTAAATAGTCGACTAGACAGCTTAATCCCGAACGTTCTCTACGGGCTGCAACTGAGGATGATTAATGAGTCGATCATATATCGCTGGTTCTTTTATATGGGTATGGTAGTACTAGTTTAAGAACCTGATGAACTTCTAGGGCATACCGTCGGACCCCAATATTCACCACAATAATTCCCCATCGACATTATCAAAAGCAATGTGGAAGCCGATGAAACACGCTGTGTTAGATTGTGGAAACTTGTAGCGGTGTTCCAGGATCCTATAGAGAGTGAAGAATTGTTGAACACAGCCTCTTCCGCAGCGAAATTCTTCTTTGCTCGGACGGGTTCTGATATCTCTGACGGCTGCGAAGCGGTTAAGCCGTAACACCGCAAACAATTTGGCCCGAATATAATATTTGCCCACTCTTTTGAAAATAATTCCCTTTCCAGAATGAGGTGGACAGAGACTGAAGCTGATTGATCGGAGTTGGTAAGCAAGCTTTGAATAACTCTGGAGGTATCCCATCTTTTCTAGGGGCCTTCCTGCTTTTTGGATAAGCGACTGTTTTGGTGATTTCTATCCTACTCGGTGGGTCATAACTGACATCGTGGGTCTCTGAACTTCTTGACACCTGTGGACA